TGACACGACTTAACGACTGAACAACAAGTAACTACAGGGAAGGTAATTGCATCTGTCAAGGTCAAGTCAGTTTACTAGCCGTGGCTTGGCTAGTAAACAAGCCTTCAAGAACCACCTTCTGCCCCCCAGTTGAACTGATGATATTGTCTCATCTGACCAAGGAGGGATCTTGCTTCCATAGCAAGTAAACACCACAAAGGAAGTGAAGTTTTTAATGGAAGTATCATGGGCTGGTCTGAAAAAGGTTGAGACCACATCAAAAAGATTGTTCAAAGGAGGGGGCAGGTTTCCCACACAATTATTTCAATATTAACATGGTTATGGTTAACTTTTTTCACAGACTCACACATTGCTAGTGATTCATTCATATCACACTTGATTCCCATATTTAAAATTAATTACATGAGCAACAGGAACCCCCTCCCCAGAGGGCCACAGACTGCAGCTTCTATGGCTCATCTGTGGCTCAGATGACTCCACCAGACTGCTTGGAGAGAAAGGGGTTCTCAAGACCATTCATTCCCTGTAGTTGTATTAACAGGGTGGGAATATATTTTTAAGGTATTACATGGTGAGGTCACCTTGTTTAAAAAATGAAAGAAAGAGAATTTTGCCTGTTGCCTGGTTCATTAATAAATGCATCGATTGAAGTGTTACCCAAAAGTAGATGGGAAATTTCTATTCATTGGCTTGGAAACCAGGGTGTCACCCTGAGATCTTCAAGGGCTATTTTCCATCAGAGGAGGATGTCGAAACTCAACAATTATTCCCCAAAGATCCTCCCAATGTCAAACGAGCAAGGAAGTTCTTTTACATAACAATCTATGGATAATCCTGTGTCTTTATTTAATATTCAGAACTACATATTACTCTAAAGATGTTGCTAGCAACTACACCTCTTGTTGTTCTACATATCCTGCTGTTTCTCATCCCAATCAGCCAGCAAACACCCATCATTTAAATTACTATAAATTGACCTATAATACCATGTTGTTTTCTCATGCCTTCATCTCTAGTTGCTTTTTTCCTTTTACTTCCTTGTCTAGACTACATCATTAGGACTACTTGGCACTACTTGGTAGAGGCTGGTGGCCAGGAAGACAGTTGTTTCAAAGAGAGTTCTTTCAAGTTTCTGAATTGAGAGAGAGGCCTACTTCATGTTACCAAATGGATTTTCACCATATCCCTCCCATTTCTTCCTCCCACGTCTTCAGTTTAGGCACCACTTGACTCCAAACTGATTCTGGATCATGTGCCATAAAACAAACAATATACGCAGTGCAAAGAGTACAATATAATAAGAAAGGAGAAAGAAAGGAAGAAGAGAACAAAAATAGATGGCCAGTCCAGAAAGCAACACCCATACTCACACCTCTGAACAAAATAATAACAAAATAATAACAACAACAACAACAAAATTATTAACAAAATAATAAAATTCTTTGAACTGTACCCAATATCCTGTATGTCAACTCACCCAAGTCAGCTCAAATCAAAACTTCGTTATGGCCATTGACCAGAAGCATCCATCAGATACATTTATAGGCAGAATCAAACTTCCTAAATCTGGTGTCTACCAGATGCTTTATATCCCAAATCCCATCATCCACAACTACAACGACTGCAGTTCCAACAGTTTGGTAGCAGATGCAGAGGCTAGCTAGAGGTATCATGACTGTATTTACTTTTTAATAACAATCAGGTTCACCTAGGTTCAAATTCAGCCTCTGACATGGCAGCTTACTCAGGCAAGATAGGTGAGAGATATCACTAAGGAAATAATAGCAAAGAAATGAATAAATGTGGTGGAAACAGCAAGGACCATCTTGTTGTGGTGTTTGGAACACACGTGCTTGGTTATCCACCACTCCATAGCCTCCCATTCGAGGCTCCAATCATTAACACACAGAGGAAATGTCAGGAGGGCCTGATGTGTCTCATTTAAACACAGATATACATAAATAGTCTGACTCTTCCCTATCTAAATCTACCATCCTGTCCCCAAACCCTCTTATATCTACAGCCATCTCCACCCAAGCAAAATGATATTTTCATTTCAGGTGGTTTTCTTTTCACTTAATCTTGTACCTTTCTGATAGGGCACTGTTGCAAGCCAGACCCTTTAAAATATCTTGTTAATTTTCAGGTGTAGAACTGGAAATCCAGTGAATACGATCCAATGAGGAAGTCAAAAGACCATGAGAATCCATTCAACTTTCCTGTCAGGGCTCTGCGTTCACCTTTGGCAAGGACCCCATGCATTGGGTGAGCCAGATCATAGGAAAGGGACTGGAATGGATTACCTGGATCTACAGACATGGGAGCCAACAACCTTATGCCACCTTAGTGAAAGAACGTTTCTCCATCTTCAGAGATAACCTGTCAAGCCAGCTGTACCTGCGAATGACTAGCTTGACCCTCAGTAATATTGCAGTATATTATTATGCACGCAGCTTCATGGAGCATCCCAGTGGTCAGGCATCAAGCCAGAAGTTTTAGGTAGCTAAAAAAAAAGAAAAAAGAAAAAAGAAAAAAGAAAGAAAAGAAGAAAGAAGAAAGAAGAAGAAGAAGAAGAAGAAGAAGAAGAAGAAGAAGAAGAAGA